GTTGGGGGTCTCGGGGGGTCGCGTCGCTGATGGCGGCGTCCCGTCCCCCGCAGGTGCAGCACGCCAGCAAGCAGATCGCCGCCGACAAGCAGTACAAGGGCATCATCGACTGCGTGGTGCGCATCCCCCGGGAGCAGGGCGTCCTCTCCTTCTGGCGCGGCAACCTGGCCAATGTGATCCGCTACTTCCCCACCCAGGCCCTCAACTTCGCCTTCAAGGATAAGTACAAGCAGATCTTCCTGGGCGGCGTGGACAAGCGCACCCAGTTCTGGCGGTACTTCGCCGGTAACCTGGCGTCTGGGGGTGCCGCCGGCGCTACCTCCCTCTGCTTCGTCTACCCCCTTGACTTCGCCCGAACCCGCCTGGCTGCGGACGTGGGCAAAGCCGGGGCCGACCGCGAGTTCAGCGGGCTCGGCGACTGCCTGCTCAAAATCTTCCGCTCGGACGGCCTCAGGGGCCTGTACCAGGGCTTCAATGTCTCTGTCCAGGGCATCATCATCTACAGAGCCGCCTATTTTGGCATCTACGACACTGCGAAGGGTAGGTTGGCCACGATGCCGGGCTGTGGTGCATTCTGGTGGATGCCGGCGGCTCGCCTGCCGCGCTCACCGAAAGCTCTCTCCCACAGGCATGCTGCCGGACCCGAAGAACACCCACATCGTTGTCAGCTGGATGATCGCTCAGACCGTCACCGCTGTCGCCGGTTTGACCTCCTACCCTTTCGATACGGTTCGTCGTCGCATGATGATGCAGTCTGGCCGTAAAGGAAGTAAGTTTCTAGCTCCTCGTGTAGGAAGTGTGGGGCATCCCTGAATCACCAGTTGCTGGTGGAGCTGAGGTGAAGGCAGAGCGGCTTGGCTTTCCCCAAGCCGTGTAGATATCCTCACCTCTTGTGGACAGTGGGGTGTGAGAGGGGCTGCGCGAGCAACATCGGGCAGGGGGCACGGACGGGTCTCTGCAGCACGCCTGTCAGGTGGCCTGCAGTGTGTCTGTCAGCAGGCAGGAACAGCAGAACTTGCCCAAGGATGTTGCAAACGAGTGTCTCTGGGCCAAGAGGAGACACCCCTGGTAGCAGACACGGCCTGGCTGACTGTGCAATAGCTTTTGGCTCTGGAAGTGTGGGTGTCAAAGCAAACAGGAGCTGCCTCCTGCTCGAACCGGTCCTTCCAGTGTCTCCTAGGGGTAATGCAGCTGCAGTGTATCTCCTGGGCAGTCCTGCCCTCTGACGCACTAACGCTGGAGAAAGTCAGTCAGGAAACGGGATGCACTTGAGGTTATGAAGCTGGCAAATACATGAGGCCATTTCTGACCTGGATGTTGGGGGTCACGGGCGTCCAATTCCTAATGCTGTCTGTCTCCCGCAGCTGACATCATGTACACCGGCACTATTGACTGCTGGCGGAAGATTGCCCGGGACGAGGGCTCCAAGGCATTTTTCAAAGGTGCATGGTCGAATGTGCTCCGAGGAATGGGTGGTGCTTTTGTCTTAGTCCTGTATGACGAAATCAAGAAGTACACATAAGTTATTTCCTGTTGTGAACTGGCATGTTGTAATACGTAATCATGGACTTGTATGAAAACAGTCTAGTTACTAAACAGTTGCGGCTGGTATTTATACAGGTTGGCATGGGGCAGGGGCAACTGCCTGCCGTGTCTTTATTAAGTCATTCCCCCTGATGGGACTCAAACATGGTTTCTATTTCAGTCTCTCCTGCTTAGAGTACAAAGAAATAAAAATCTGAAACCAGCTTTCCTCGTCTCATGTTCTCGCTGCAGTGTGAGGGGGCTGGGGGTCTCTGCTCAGTGATTATAGGGAAGGAGGGAGATAAATCACCTCCATCCTGCATGCCTCATTACCTGCTAACTACCTGTGGTCTCCGGCAAGTAAATGCCGCCCAGGCTGCCGAGGGAGTGTTTTCTCCCCAGTGGAGGCCAGCAGTGTGGGCTGCGGTGGGGACTGGCAGCTCTGGAGGACTTTCCCAGCTGGTTTCTCCTGAGAGAGACCCTGGTAACTAGAGATGATGCGCTGGCTGTGTGCCACCAGCCCTGCCTCTGGCCTGCCTGCTCCCCGGAGCTGATGAAACCTTGTTTTGAAAGTGCCAAGTGCCTAACCGTTCTGCAAAGCACAACCCTCCCCACGGCGCTGAATGCCTTGGAGGCGGGAGAAATGTCTGAGGGAAATGTCGAAGGGGTCTTTGCTGCTGTCCGGAGGAGCAGGGCTGGCATCGCGTGCTCTGGCTTAGAAACTGAGCCGCCTACTTGAGCGTCTTCAAAGCAAGCCAGAGAATATAAGTGCAGGTAATTGTGGCTCTTGTGTAGAGCCCCTGGCTAGCCCTGCCCTTGCGGAAGGTGTTGTGCTGTGCGGAGGTGGTAGCGGAGCGGAGACAGACTGCTCTTGCGCCAGGCGGGGAGCCGCGTACCCCTGGGAGTTAAGCTTGTCCCAGCCCCAAATTCAGGGAAAAGGGGGAAATTCATGCTGCTGGGGCAGTTTGGGGAAAACACTGCAAAGACCGGGCAATGTGTGTGGCTT